TTAAGTTATCTTCATCTGGCTACTAGCTAGATCTCTTTTCCTAGACAATGGGAATCGTTAATACCAATTTGCGTTATGACTCTACAGTAACTGAGCCTAAGCAGCAATCGTGCTTAATCATCATCCCCGCATAAATGCGACAGTTATGAGCCTAAAAGCGAAATCTGAAGCACGAAGTCTGCGATATCGAGTATCGAGATAGAGTCTTCGCCAGTTCCTATTCGAGTCAACAAAAGCTTCATTTGGTCCTACACCATCCGATCCTCTTCACACGAAAACCCCCAAGATGTCTATGTCCTCAAATGACCTCGCTGTCGCCGTCAGCAGCATTCCAAAGCTTAAGACGCGATCAGATTGGCGCCCATGGATTGAAGCCATTGAGGTCCACGCAAAACGAGTTGAAGTCTGGGACTATATCAGTCTAGGCAGTCAAAAGAAATTTACTCGTACGGAGTTCCCTGAAAACGAAGACGCATACAATGCTCTCGGAGAGTTCGGAAAGAAGCGCCTTGAATACAACCTCAAGAAGGATGAGGAAACACAAAAAGCCCTCATCAGGATAGCCGACATCATCACGGCCACAGTCTCTGAAGAAGCGAAGGCACACTACAAGCCTGGAGATACCCCACGACAGATTCTACAGGGTCTACGGTCACGATTCAAGCCAACGACCCTACAAGAACACATTCAGATCAAACAAGCATATGCACAGCTCGTTCAGCGCCCGAAAAAGATGCCAGTAGTCGATTGGATAGCAGAATGGATGAAATTCCAGAAGCACGCGAAAGAGCTCGGAGATGAATACTTGTCTAGGGACTATGTTCTTATCATCGATCTCATAAATGCGGCAAGCGAACACCACTTCACCGATTTCGTTAATCACGCCAATTCGGACCTATGGGCAGCTGATAAGACGGACAAGATCGACGAATTAAAGCTCTCCGAGTTTATCGATCTCTTCTACAGATCATACCCAGCCGAGTCAAAGCAGACAAAACAAATCTTCGCTACCCTTCAAGGCGAAACGCTCGAGGAGTCGAAACCCTCATCCTCATCCTCAGCAGCGACAACGGAACAGAAGACATCCTCGTCTTCCTCACGCAAGACCTTGCCTCAATGCATATGTGGCGGGCGCCACTACTTCGCAAATTGTTTCTACTTCAATCCCGCCATTCGCAAGCCAGGATGGAACGAACGCCCCGAGATGGTACAGAAGATCAAGGAGGCCATCCGGCAGGATCCGCGCCTTCTAGGAATGATCACCAAATCGCTCACCAAAGCAAACGTTGAGGTACCTAGCTGGGTACCCTCTACAGAAGCCCCAGCAGCAGCAGCTACGCTGGCTCCACAGGCAGGAACAGAGCCCAAGTACTCGTTCGCCACTGTGATCGTCCCACAAGTATTTTCTACGCAGCCTAGCGATATAGATCTTGATATCTACATCGATAGTCTTTCGTCAGATCATATCTGTAACGACATCAACCGATTCACAAACTACGTCGAGGAGCATCTCTCCGTTAAAACCGGAGACTCCTACACCGAAATTCAAGGCAGGGGAGACATCTTTATCCCCATCATCGATGAAAATGGTCGCTATAACCATATGAGGATCACCAACGTGCTTTTCTGCCCCAGATTCCACGTTAATCTCGTTTCGGCTAAGAAGCTACGCGAGAAGGGAGTCTACGTCGATGAAAAGGCTTCTGCCCTTCGATTCTGGAAAGACAACTCTTTCATCTGCCAGATCTTCCTTAAGGGAGGATACTGGACCTTTACAAGCGACAATCTTCAGCCAATAAAGAAACAGCTCGCTTTCGCTACACGATCTGCACAGATCACCATCGCCCACGCCCCTCACGATGTTTGGCATCGTAGGATGGGCCACATTCGCCCTGAAGCAACGCAAAAGCTCCAGGAGGCTGTCGAAGGCGTAGCCATCGCTAAATCGACTCGCCTATCACACGATCATCCACCCTCTCGATGCGAGAGCTGCATGCTTGGTCAGATGAAGCGACAAATATCACGAGCTCCACAGTACTATGGAACTCGCCCATTCGAGAAGCTCTACGTAGACTTTATCGAATTCGAGAATGGACTATCAGATGAAGCCTGGGTCCTCCATTTCTATTGTGCCTTTGCGCACTTCCATTTCGTGTATGCCGTACGCAACCGGCGCAAGGAGACACTAGCACAGTGTTTCATCAAGACGATCAACATTATCAGAGCTCAAGGTTACGTCTTACGATATCTCCACTTTGATAACGAGGCAGCCATTGACTCGGATCTCTTCGTCTCCCTAATCAATAAGAATAGGATCATCGTAGAGCTAACTGCCCCGCATACATCAGACCAGAATGGTCCTGCGGAACGCTCTGGCGGAGTCATTACAACGACTGCGCGCAAGATATGTATCGATTCGAAGATGCCGAAGAAGCTCTGGCCATATTTCATATACCACGCAGCTTATCTTTTGAATAGGACTCCGGTACAATCCTTGAACTGGAAGACCCCATACGAGTTCATCTTCCACCGCAAACCAAACCTCTCTCACTTGCGAATCATTGGATCGAAAGCATACGTTCTGAAGACCAATATTCCCCGCCGAGAAAAGATGAATGAACGCGCAGATATTGGGTTCCTCGTAGGCTACGAAGCCTCGAATATCTTCAATATCTGGGTTCCAAGCCTCCAACGCGTTATCGTATCTCGCGATGTTCAAATTGAGGAGGTGATTCGCTACGATCCGAAGGTCGACGAGTCATCTTCCAGTGATCGCACTGACGATCTCCATGCCCTTATTGATCGTATCGATTTCGACACGAAACGATATATCGATGAGTCCACAAACACAGCCATTGCTGGAGGGCAGGTTCTGGCACCCCCGTCAGCTCAAATACCGCCCCCAACAATCACACCCGACATACTGTCGGATCAGCCCAAAACCATGGATTTGCCTTCTATGGGCCCTCCTCTTCCCACTCCTGAGGCATCCCGCGATGCTTCTCCCATCCTTCCTCTGGCGCCTGACACTGCCCATGTCTCTCCAGCCACGAGCCTGCCGGCTGTAGCTGAGGAGGTGGAAGTGCTTAGGACTACAGAAGTCACGGATAACGAGACTGAACGATTGATCCACGATCAATTGGAACAAGAAATGCGCCAGGAATCATTTGAAAGTGAGGCACAGCCCTCCAACCAGGAGCCCCCTGCGAAACCCCCTTCGACTCGCTCCTCATCACGCCGCCCACGCGGTGATTTCCAACGCCAACAGTCTGCTATTGCAGGTCTACGATCGAGCACTCGAAATACGAAGCTCTCACGGAAAGCTCAGGAGGTGGCAGATGCCGAACCATCATCCTCCACCAAACACGTCTCAGCACGTAAAAAGGCTCATCTTACAATGATGCTTAATGCCACCCAGCTGGCCCCTCTTATATATGCCTTCGCCACAGCGCGAATCGATCGAATTCATAGGGATAACCTCCCTCCGCCTCCAAAGGACTGGGGTGAAGTTCTTCAACGCCCAGACTCCGCTCAATGGAAAGGAGCAGCTAATAACGAAGTTACCGTAGTCATTGAACATGGCACGTTCGAGCTTGTCATTGCTCCTCAGGATGCCCAAATTCTGCCGCTGAAATGGGCATTTACCTACAAATTTGATGCGGATGGATATCTCACGAAATACAAGGCACGTATCTGTGTCAGAGGAGACCTCCAAGAGATCGCTGATCGAGATGCTCTATACGCTGCAACCGGCGCGTATACAACATTTCGCATACTTATGGCACTGATTGCCGCCTTTGATCTTGAAGCAGAAGGACTCGACGCAGTCAACGCCTTCGTCCAATCATACCTAAAGACACGAGTCTATGTCCACCATCCACCAGGTTTTGAACGGCCAGGATACGCATATCTCCTGCGCCGCGCCCTCTACGGTCTCGCAGAGTCTCCGAAGCTCTGGCTACAAATCGTGGAAGTAGCTATGGAAGAGCTCGGTCTCGTCCCCTGTGGCGACGATCCCTGCCTCTTCGTCTCCAAAGACCCGACCAAACCACTTATCGTCTTCGTCTACGTCGATGATTTCATTATTATTGCTTCTAAGAAGTTCAAGCATCTTATCGCCGAGTTCAAGCGCAACTTCATGAGCAAGTATAAGTGTCGGGATCTCGGTCCAATCCAAAGCTTCCTGAATATTCGCATTGTCCGTGATCGCGCAGCCCGCAAGCTGTGGATCTGTCAAGACTCCTACGTCTCCAAAATTGCCCATAAATTCAACAGACAGGGTACCGACGCTAGGACCCCTCTAGCCTCATCTTTCGATGAATACACAGCCAATGAGGATGCCCCGAAAGCAGCTCAAACGGGATATCAGCAGCGCGTCGGATCACTGATCTACGCCGCTATAGTCTCACGCCCTGATATCGCTCACGCAGTGAGCCGCTTAAGCGAATTCAACGTTCGCCCCAGCCCAGAACACAGGAGAGAGGCCGATCGCTGTATCTCCTACCTCAACAACACGCAGAACTACGCTATCGAGTATTCTGCAGACTCCTTTGACGCCGATCCAACGGTCTCTGCGCGTCCGTTCAACTCATATAGTGATGCCTCTTTCGCCGACGATCTCGAGACACGAAAATCGTCTCAAGGATACTTAATCTCCCTGTTTGGCGGCCCTGTCGCATGGCAGGCTTCTAAACAGCGAAGCGTCACTACTTCCACCACCGAATCTGAGCTCTACGCCTTGTCTCATGCCGCAAAGGAGGTGATGCGTATGATGCGCCTTTTTAAGCACCTTCGTTTTGATCCGGAGTGCCCTATCTCTATTGAGTGCGACAATACCCAAACCGTTGGGATTGTCACCCGCGAAACGCCTACGCTGACTACTAAACTTCGCCACGTCGATATTCATCAGTTCTGGCTTCGTCAAGAGGTCCAAAGGGGTCATATCTTCGTCAATTGGATCCCAACAGCCGAACAGGTCGCAGACGGACTCACCAAGATCCTCCCTATCGCGAAGCATTGGGAATTCGTACGACAGATGGGCTTAAGGAACATTACTCATCTCATTACGGAGCAGGCTCCATAGTTGTTTACATAGATTGATCGTCCAGACAACCCCTTCAAGCGGTGCTGTCTGAGGAGGTGTGTCGCAAGATGCCCCTGTTGGTTTCTACTGCCACCTAACATTCCTTTCACTGCCCCCTACCCCTGGGCTAGGCCTAATCAGGACTCTTCAGTCTTCTCCTATGTATTTAAGTTATCTTCATCTGGCTACTAGCTAGATCTCTTTTCCTAGACAATGGGAATCGTTAATACCAATTTGCGTTATGACTCTACAGTAACTGAGTCTAAGCAGCAATCGTGCTTAATCATCATCCCCGCATAAATGCGACATAATTTCTTATGAGTGTGATGGATCAGAGGTCCGCAGACCTGGATGCCTTGTGGCCTTGTGGCCCGTTCAGGTTCGGTTCTGGTTTGCTCTGTTGTCGGAACTCCGCGGCTATTACTTAGTCACCGCACCTTGTAGATTACATAAGATTACATAAGCCCCGGGTATATATACCCGTCAAGGTAAACTATGTACTTCTGACCGAATACAAGCATCTCACTGCCTCTGAACAGGTATCCTATTGTTTCCGTGATTGATTGACACGCCAAAACGATCAACATCTGTAAACACCAGAACAGATAAACGCCTCGCACACCTTAGATAGATTCCTCCTTCATAGCAACAATTCAATGTTTGCCTCACGATTGGAGATTCCCGACAGTGAGACTCTTACATGTATCGAGGATACAGTAGCGCTAGATGATTACGAACAGAAGACAGGGCGCGATATCTTCAATGAGCCTCTTAAACCTAGATAATCCCCATTTCTTGCGGAGGAGGGGGGTATTGTTATGGTCCCAGGCCTGCGGCCTGTTCCCTTGGTTGTGGCTGAAGACGTGGCTGGTGGATTATATCAGAGAAGCAAACAAACATGGTAACACAGCAGTAGGGCATTGGAGAGGAGAGTCGCTATCTCGCGCACAAAGGTGCCGGGAGATTTTTTCTCTCTCTCTCTCTTCAGTTTAGATTAATGGAACTTGGTAATCGCAGACCTTGCGCATCCAGACCGTGTCACTTCGTTCCTCAAGGCACGGAACTTCGTTCCTCCAGGCACTTCGTTCCTCCAGGCACTCTTCGCGATGACTCGATCATAAAGCTAGAGTACAATATCCATCATCTGTGACATATAGAAGCAGCCTTTTCGAAATTACGGAAATACTTTGCCAACGACTGACCATCTCAAATATGCCAGTTAGTTGATTCTCCAGCCCCGCGGAGCTGCGATCCAATTCTCTAGCCGAAATCTCAACGTGTCAGTGCAGTCTGCAGGCGGTGTTATTTCTATTATCGTCGATTCCAGGTTTTAGCGGGCAGTATCTGCGTTGGAATGAAATCATATCAGCTGAACTGGAGACATGATCCTGGAGTCTGATCAACATCGCATAGAGTCGTGTGATTTTTCAATATTTGAACCAAACATCTGGTTCTGGTTCACTGCCCACAGCTGTGACACATTTTACGATAATCATGACGTTCTGTCTCAAATCCAGCATGTAGATATTTAAAGAGCCCAAGATTATACGATACAAGACCAGATTTCCTACAGCTCGATTTATTTCCTTGCACAACTTGGATTCAGAGACTTTCTTCCTTTCTACTCACACAACCTCCGAGCCTATACTCAAGATGTCTACCACTGCTCCCATGATGTCTACTGCTGCGGAGGGACCCACTGCTACCTTGAAGTCTACTGCAGTGGAAGGAGTCTACGTCCCACCTCCAGGGTTCCGATTTCGCCTACAATCCAAGGACAGCGGTCGTGTCCTCGTTGGAAATGGCGAGGATGACGACTGGAGGGTCACAAACTATGGCGGTGGTAAGGTGTACGACGACCAATGGTTCACTCTCCGCGCCATAGACGGTCATCCTTCGGACGAGTACTACCTCCAAAGCGCCGATGACCGCAATGGCGGCAGAGTCGTCTTCAGCCGGCAGCTTTACCCGGGACTGTATGGCGAAGTTGGACTCTACACAACAGACCACAAAGATCAGCACTTCAAGATTGAGCCTGGCACCGGGGACAAGCGGGATTATTTCCGTCTGATTGGGCCGCATACAAAAAGAGTCATATTCTCTAGAGATGAACTTGTCAGCAACTATGAACTCTCGGGAGGGCCACACAACGACCATTACTTCAAGTTCTTGTACGAAGACACCGTTTTCGACCGCGTGGAATATGACATCGATCATGCCACAGTTACTCCACAAGACCCTGTTCTATTTACGAACACTGTCACGAATGAGACCGATGCCTCGAATGAACTGGAGGTAGACATGAGGCGTGGAGCGTCGGAAGTTGTGTCGTTTGAGGAACAGCACGGCATTAACATTACGGAGACCGTCACCACTGGCTTTGGGATTCCCGGGATTGTGGATGGCGAGGTCACAACGGGATTCGAACAGACTAATAACTTCACGTTTGGACGGAGCAATACCATCACCTACGAGGTCGGCTCAAGTCTCCAAGTTACTGTTCCTCCTCATTCCATCCAAAAGGTGGAAGCCACGCTGAGTCACAGTACGATTGACTTGCCCGCTCGGATCTATTCAAAGTCGAAGACGTTGGGTATTGAGGTTGTTACTGATGCCATTTACCATGGTACGCCTTACTATGACATCAGTTATCGAGTCTTGGAACCCGAACCTTGGCCTTGAGATGGCTGATCGTATTGTGTTTTGGAGAGTATGGAACATGCTCTATCCCTACATTTGTCTGTCTCATTCTTCGACTCCAATATGTAGTAGTTTACAGATGTTACAAAATGGTGTCTGGACAGAATCACAAAATGAGTTTGCTTCCATAGAAGGGTCAACTTGAATACTACTAGTAGCTTCAAATTTTTAGTCCTGTGAAAGCGGGCACGGCACACCCTAAGCACCTCACTGTGTCTTCCAGCAAAGTTGGCCTTGCTGGCTTGGTGCCTTTTCCCAGCAGCACCATAATCCATTCTCTTCGAACTTATCCTCGATCCTTCACCCGCCATGACGTCGGTATCCAGCTCCGCGCAAGGGCACGCAGACTCAAATCGCTCAAAACTGGTACCTACCACGTCGAAACCTGTGAGACATCATAGCGAAAGCCATCTGGAACGGTTTACCGGAGCCGAACTGGGAGAGCCATGACCCGCACTCTCGAGCGCAAGCAGCGGTTCTGACTCTGACGACCACCGGATACAGAAACATCATCAACGCCCGAAAATGCCCGATATGAACCTTACTAAGAGGTTCAACCATACTAACATTGACTGGTCAGTGATAGAAAAACAACCTTGTCGGGTGGGGAGAGCTCTTCCGAAGCGGTAAGAAAGTTAGGCTGAACATATTGTTCAAGTACGTGGACTCTCAGCCATCCGCTGGCACGTCGAAACGAGGATCTAAGCGAGGCTCGTCTGCAACAAAGCGTATCCTCGCTGATCGTGCCGCACAGTTGAATGCAGAGGAGGATAGCAGCGGTCACCCATCGGTCTAGCGACAAGTATATGCTCTGTTCCGATGCACTGGTCCCCCATGCGATCTCGAGCCTTACTGCTGGTGCGCCCTGGTGAGCATGAAACGCTATAAACTACGAACATGCCATCTTAAAGCTATCATCGATTGGACAGTAGAGGGTAACCCAGTGCAGAGCCATGATGATGTTTCTTAGCAAGTCCGGGACCAGCTCGTGCACGAGGAGCAGCAACGACTCGAACGGCAGCGAAGCGTACCGGCTAACGCTACGTCCCGAATATTCAGTCGACGTGTATTCCCTTACACGCCTACGCCCACGGGGTTGTAACAAATTGCCTTCTGTCCGTTCTGCCCCCAGAAAGTTCATTTAACGCCCTCTCTCGTGCTATTGACGCGTAGCAGTTGCATGTGTTGCGTCCGTCGAGTCGCGTGAAGGGGGATTCCGTTGATGTATATAACCGTGCGTGGAAGGAACGAGGACGGAAGGACGAGGCAGGGCGGTAAGGACGAGATGATGAGGAGGACGAGATGATGAGAGGACGAGATGATGAGGAGGCCGAGATGATGAGAAGGACGAGATGATGAGAAGGACGAGATCACCGTAACCTGTCATGTTGCCAAGCCATTCTCTCCGCGGAGCTCCTCTCTCCTCGGAGCGACGTTTTACTACGAGAAATCGCAAATGCTCCTTGGACTTGCGTATAACTCAATTTATAAAATTTAAGATTTATTTGTATCTAGATGCATTGTACAATAAGTGTCCCCGTTTTTCCCCCTTTGAGGACGAGCCTGGTACCTCAGCTTGTGGCCGTGTACTCCTCATCTTCGACTTCCGCTTTCGTGGGAAGTCTGATGCTGGCCTCATAATTGGTGGAGGGTAGCACTTATCCTGAATCGATAAGTAACTTGTCTGTGGCGGATAAAGGGTACTCACCATGAAATCCTAGATTGGAATCGGAATCAATGACTTGGTAAGGGAGTTAAAGGCATAGCAATTTTTTTCCTCCAATAATGAACAGAAATGCTTCTGCTCCGAAATCACCGAGTTCGCTGGTGCTACTCATAATGGTCTTGACTCTTTTCTCGAAGTTCTCGTTGATCCTATGTCGTTTCGGCTTATCACTCGTGTCAGTAGCCATCTTTGCTGAGTTACAATGATGATGTGGGCGGGACTTCCACAGTCCTATGTCTATAGAAAAGTAGACGCTTGTGGCCCATTTCCGGGACCGCGTCTGGACCCAAACGTAGCCGTCTGGTTTGGGACCCTCTCTAATTATAGCTTTGATTAGTTCCGCCAACTCGAGTTGCCATTTGTGCACCTACAGTTATGTGTCTGTCAGCTTTGATGAGATTCCAGCAAGAATACGCGAGGTTCGAAAGGCAGCCAAGACTATGACGCAGCACAAATCTGACAACATAGTAGTACATTCGGGACTAGAGAAATGAAGATCAACTTCGCCTACAGTATAGCGGTGCTCGCTCAGCTCGAGACGAGATTATCTTGTTCATGCCTTATTCATGCCTTGAGGAACAGAGAGACGAAAGGGCTACACTAGAGGCAAGGAATCACCTGTTGATTGGTTTAGACGTGTTAATCGACCACGGAAACAATAGGTTTTCCGACAGAAGGAATGAGATGTGTAAGAGTCTCACTGTCGGGAATCTCCAATCGTGAGGCAAACATTGAATTGTTGCTATGAAGGAGGAATCTATCTAAGGTGTGCGAGGCGTTTATCTGTTCTGGTGTTTACAGAGCAAACGGGCCACAAGGCCACAAGGCATCCAGGTCTGCGGACCTCTGATCCATCACAAGATGCTTATATTTGGGAAAGGTAGAAAACTGTCGCAGACCAAGGTTTCATCTAAGAGAGCTCGAGGCTACAAACTGCATTAATAAACTTGCCACGAATCTCATATATCTGGAGGGCCAGGGGACCAGGCATTGACATAAGAACACGCAACT